CGCTGACAAAAGCACGCCATCGAAAACAACGTGAAAACCACGGTAACAACGTTAACAACCCTAACCCTAACCCTTACCTTTATGTGAATCGGCTTGCTTTAATTTAATTTTTATTAATTTTTATTTGAATTTTTCGATCTTTTTCGTCGCGCTGTGATGACGTCAAAGGCGCGATTTTGTCGATCGCGCTTTTGCCGTCCGCGCTTTTGACGGGTCACGGTGCACATGGAGGTGTATATTTATATATTCATAAACCAAAGAGATGGATCTTTGAAATGCAGTGCAGTGCAAACCATAGCTAATTTGTACTCTGCTAATTTTGCACTTTGGGAAATAGAAATATTAAAGGAAACTAATTCAGCTTCACTTTCTACATTAACAAGCAATAGGAAGAATTTACTCAGACAAATATTAATATTCAAACAGAGAAACAATTTATTTTATTTTTTACACACAACCAGAAAGCATGGAGAAAGTAGTTCAATTTTACAGAGAGAAAATTAGTTTAGTTTACATGCTCACATCATAGCACAAGGTTGTGCATTTTTTTTAAAGCTAGGGAAGCAATTCCAAGAGGCTTATATCCTTCTAAGAGCTTAAAGGGGTTGTAGCTAATGATTGATGTAACTAGAATGGAGGTGTGTACTAAGATTTAAAGAGTGAAACTGGTAGCATCTTGCAGCAGCCTATAGTATCTGTTGCGCTCAGTTGTTCTTTATCTTAATTTGAGGAAAGCTATCATTTAAAAGGTCTCTATTGGGTCTTTAGCCTACACAAAATCTGAGGCACCTGGTCAAACAATGAAACCCATGTGGCATCCTGGTTAAGTTGGTCTAATCAAGTCCAATCTTAGCTATGAAGGACCAATAGGTGACCTTGGGCCCACCATTCTTCCTTAGCCTAAGATTGCATAGTGCTTTTACATGTCATTTTTAGCTTAACGGAAAGGTGGGCTATACCTCTGGTTAACAATAGAAATACATCCAAAATATAATCATTGTGGGTATCCTCCTTAACATTTCTAATCCTAAGTAGAGAAAAGGCTAAAAGAAAACTATCAAGTTCAAATGTGGATGAAATGACACTCTAGTGAAATATTAAAGCTGTTTTACAGGCCAAGAGAAAATTGATTTCTAATGAAAGGGGAGCCAATGTGGTCAAAGTTTTGGAGACAACAGAGGAAAGGCAGTTTATCTGCTGCCAAATCAGCATGTCAAAGGATTTTAGTACAGAAAAATGCTGCTTGCAGTATTTGGGACAATATTTATGAAAGGCAACATGTTATAGACATCATCCAAAAGACTATTATCCAGAAATAAAGTTTTCTAGGAAATAAAACTGATTGTGGCATAGGGCAATAGAAGAAAAGGCTAATCTAATACTAGAGGCAAACAAGCCCAAATAATTTAGATTTAGAAATAGTGAATAGTTCCCATTGGTCTGAATCAGCTCTTGGATTGGTAGACTCATTATTTGACTGCTAAAAGCTATTTCCCTGAGCATTCAACATCTAGTAGATGCATTACTTTCCCAACAGAGCTTTCAGCACCCCAATTCAAATTGCCAAAGTCTTGATTGTAAAGAACCTTTCTTCTATCAATGGAGAGAATTACAAACTTTTCTTCTCTATGTAGCTTCTGATTATATATGGTTAGGATTGGCTGACAGTTGCAGACATTTGTTGAGATGAAATCTCCAGATAGACAAGAGGAAATCAAAATTTATGGCTACTAACCCTGTTTTTTTGCTTTCTAATACTATTGACTTTATTTACTTCACTTACATTGCATATATACATTTTCTCTCTCTGTTTGCATGGCCAGACAGGAATATAAAATTTGTTCCAGTATGTTCATGGCAGTCATTATCTTAGATTCTGTTTCTATAGATACAGTACTGGGTGAATGACTGTTCATTTGCAAAAATGCAGGGTGGAAAATTAACATAAATGACATAGTAACTAGTGTGTTTACTGAATTTTCCATGAGATTTATGGACTAATAGCTCATCACAAGGATCTGCTAGGTTCAAGCTTTGTATTTATCTCCTATGAAGTTTAAAGAAAAGCTGTTTTTTGCTGCTCTTTCGAGTTCAACTTACAGACTTTACATCCTCAAATTGAAAGAAACATTACAACATGGAATCTGCTGTATACTTGCTCCTCAGGTTATAAATAGTTATGACTTAATTAACTATTGCCATAATACTGTTTAAAGGTACTTCTTTCAACAATGGAATTTATAAGATGTTAAAGCAATAAAGCAGGTAAGCCTGCTTAGTAATAGCAATAGCACTTAAGACTTATGTGGGGTAGACAGAACAAAATGTAGTTCTGTCAGCTTTATTTCTGCAATACAGAAGATATGTGAGCTGGATCATCATGTATTTTGATCATGTCCCTAGATTTTATACTTGTACAAAAAAATCACACAGCTGCAATACAGTTTAATTGCAGAATGCCTGTGTATTTGGGAAGTTTATGAACTTTAGTTTTCAAGAAGCATCTTTAATATTGCTGAGAATAGAAAATGCCCAATTTTTTCATCGTATATTTATATCACCAGGAAGCCAAGGAAACCTAGTCTTAATGTCTTAATTCATCTTAATGTCCACATTTGCTTTTCCGCACCAAATAGTCTATGAGTGTTTACCTGGTCTTTTTAGAAAAGATGAAAGAAAACATCTATCTTGTAACTAGGCAACTGAGAACATAATTTCCTTTTTGTTTAGTCCTGAAAAAATGGGTAAGGTTGTGTCTTCAGCAATGCAAGAGTTTGCAGGAGTGGGAGTGCAATAATGCTCTGGAAGTCTTAATAATAATTAGCCTATTCCATTTTGAAACAAGAGCCCAACTGTTTTACTCTTCTACCCTAGAAATTGTTAGCTGATGGCCTTGTGGTTAAAACATTGGATTACTCCTTTACTGATTCCCACCCCCACAATCCTTCACTGTTCTTGTTTTATTGCAAAAGTATTTTTCCTGGAAAAAATAAAGCAAAATAGATTCTAACTACAGTTAAGAAGAAAAAAAATGTAATCATTAAATAGATTCTTTTTCAATAAAGGCTCAATCCAGCTAGTATTAAATTATTTGAAAAAGACCTGGATATGACCTCTGAAAGCATATCTTATGGCACTGTACAATAAAATAACCTATGCTATATGTCTAATTATAAGAAACTAATTGCTAACACTTAAAAACTTTGATTTATCTCTTTGTAATATATAGTAGTGAATACAGTTAATAAATTAATTCAGTATTTTACTGAAATGTACTGCAGTTTCACTCAAAACAATACTATAAGGAGGCAGAAACTAAATACATTAAGAAAATGCATTGCGAGGCTATTTTGGTGTTCTAATAACGGGTCACCTGATTTCCATTGTATATCCGTATTATATGAATATTACAGCTTTGTACTTATGAAAATGTGCCTATCCCAATTTCAATCCCTGTCGCTCCAGTGGAAGGCTGTTGCTGGTTCTTCTAATATCAAGTAATTTAGCTCTATAAGCCTTCTATAATTCCATTGCTTTTTCCTCAATTCTTATAATGGGAATGTGAAAGTGCAGATTTTGAACTGTGTAAAATAATCCAAATTGAACCTATTTTGTACTAGTCACAGAACACAGAGGTCATGATGAAATCACAGGCTAATTCTTTGATTATATGCTGTTTATTTTCAGTGAAACCAAAGTATGTTACTGATGTTATCACAGAACATCTTCACATTTGATGCAAATATGAAAGAGTTATATACAAAGTAATTAAGTGGCACTATTTTAAAAGAAAAAACCCAGCCTCCAAAATTATATTATGTAAAACATATCATATGCATAACGTGTGTAAGCTCCAACTGCACTGCAGCTGCATTACTTTGAATATAAGTGCCACATTAATGATCATTTTTCAAGACAAACTGAATCATTACCATTAGACTTTAGTAAAGAGCAATGTTTATCGCAGAAAACTAGTGCAACCTTTTTGTTTTTCAGTCTGTTATTCTTTTTATAATTCTAAACCATTTTGTAAGCTCGCATATTCTTGCAAAATGTGTGTGTTGGAATTTCTACATGTTTTTGTGTATGCGTGTACAGTATGCCACATACACAGGCGCACATACAAAACCAATTTCATGTTATCATTAAATAAAAGAACTTTACAGTACAATGTGATGGGCTAATTCTTGTTCAGGTATTCCTTTATTGTGTTCCCGAGGCACTCTGCACTGAAGGAGTAGAATCCTGCTCGGGCAAGAAGGTGAATATGGGAGCGGCTGACTCTGAGAGCCCAGGAGGAAGCACATGGCGGCACACAGGACATGTTCCAGACTAGGTAAGAGAAAACACCACCGTTTAGTACAATTCAGGTCAAGAATTCAAGAGTAGCCAAATGTAGTCTCAAATACCGTGTTTCCTCGAAAATAAGACAAGGGTTTTATTTTCTTTTGACCTCTGAAATAAGGACTTGGCCTTATTTTGGGGGAGGTCTTGTTATTTCTGAGGTGCAGGAGGCGGTGACCATGGTCACCTAATGGCTGCTGCTGTGCTGCGATATTTTCAGGGAGGGCTTATTTTCAGGGAAGGACTTATTTTAGTGTGTGCGCTCAAAAGTCCAATTGGGCTTATTATTCGGGAAGGTGTTATTTTCGGGGAAACAGGGTATATTTAGGGAAGTACTGCAAATTAAAGAAAGCAAAAAAGCTAAAAAGATCTAGATTCACATATTCATGTTGCCTTCTTTAAAAGGCTCATATCGGCTTTATAGTGGTTTCTATAGTATAAATCAGTATTATTTTTGATAAAGGTATGAATTTTAATTACACACAAGAGGATATGTTCACGTGGGACTGTTGTTCAATAACAAAGCCATGATTGACTCTTCGCAACCCCATGGACAAGGGAGCATTCATGTCTTCTGGAGTTTGCACAAATTCATGTTCATTGCATCAGTGACACTAACCATCTCATCTTCTGCCATTCCATTCTCCTTTTGCTTTCAATATTACAAGATATTGTTAGGTATTTTGATAAGGTGCTTAGTATTAGATACTACATAAGATTTGTGTGTTTAAAACACACCATATATTATCCTAGGAAGTAGGCAAATACATTTCAATTAAATTGAGATATTGTCTGATCAAATGGCAATCTCTATGTGACACCTAATCATTCCCCCAAGCTCTTTACACACACATATACACATCAAAAGTGCTGAGATCTGGAAGGGACTGTAAATTCTCTACATTGGGTAACTATCAATTTGAAACTGTTTACTAGGTAGCCTGAGTGTACTTAACAGTATTCACCTCACGTATTAGGGCATATGAAGATGTATTGAATTGCCTGGTACTTAGTGGAAATTATATTTTCAGTCTCTTTCATAGTGATCCATAGTATAGAATCTTAAACCTTTGAGAAATAATTTAACTCTTCAAGGATAGTGCATAGATCATATAAATCATTTTGCAAAGCACCTTTTCAAATGCTTTACCCAAGCCTAGAAAACATTAAATTTATTTTTATTTTCTTTAAATTTTATTTATTTGTATCTTGCGTTATTACTTTTACAAATAACTCTTGGCAACAAACATTTCTAACACACCTTTCTGCTTCTTTTTTACCCTCAACAGCAACCTTGTGAGGTACCATACCAATATAGCCAATCACCGTTATGCACATCAATATACAGCGCTACTATTGATGTGTTTCCAACCAAGACTGAACTAAACTAAGTCACTGATCTTAAACAGCAAAATCAATGGGCATTTTTAGTGCCTTGTATACAAATCTAAGAGAGATAATCTGGGTTCAGCTCAACCCTGACAAGACTCAATGGCTGTGGGTTTTGTCCCCTCTCCCCTCATCTAGTGATTTGCCATCTTTAACTATGCCTGGGATTACAATTACATTCCACAAGCAGTCAGAGATGGCACACAATCTGAAGATTCTTCTAGACTTAATTGTGGCTAGGACAGCCTTTGCTCAAATACATCTCATGTACCAGTTATGCCCTTTTGTAGATCAGGAGACATTGCTCAAGGTCACTCATACCGTAACCAACTGTAGTACTGCAAATGCTGCATGTGGGGATGTCCTTGAAAGCATTTAGAAGATACAGATGCTCCAAAATACATGAGCAATAGTCATCATATTGCAGTACGCCAAGGTAACATCATCCCTTGATGAACTGCACTGGCTTCCAGTAAGCTTCTGAATGTAATTCGAAGTGCTGGTTATCATCTTTAAAGTGCTACATGGCTCAGGGTCAGGTTACTTATGCAATTGCCTACCCCTAATAGATGTGGTAAGCATGCAAAAAATTCCCTTATGAAACTGTCAATTGTGGAACCTTGGAAGCATGTCTTGTCTGTCACAGTGCCTATCTTATGGAGCAGCCTGCCTTAGAGATATGGATGGCTCAAACCCTGTTGGCCTTCCAGAAAACAGTGAAGATCTGGCTTTTGTCAAGGTACTGGGACCAGGATACAGATGGGATCAGGTTACTATATTTGATTGATGAATGCAAGTTTTATCAGAGTCTCAATATTGCACTTTTTTGTTGTTTGTCTAAAATACTTTTGTTCTACATTGTTGTTATTATTATTATTATTACTATTATTATTATTATACAATTGTATCACAGCGGCCAGTTGTTTCGCCGGATTTGGCATTGGTTACTAGTCGGGCCCCATCCAGGGGCCTAGGACGTCGTAACGTATTTTCGTAATATGTGTGCGGATCCAAGCAGTGCGGCTTTTTGCATTTGACTGATGGTGATTTTGTCAATTTTTAACTGTTTTAAATGTAATTCCAGTGCTTTTGGAATAGCACCCAGTGTGCCAATTACCACTGCTGGTTTGTGCCATAGTAGTTGAATTTCAATTTTTAAGTCCTGGTAACTTGCTATTTTTTCATGTTCCTTCTCGGCAACCCTGCTATCACCTGGTATTGCGATGTCTATGATTGTGACCTTATTTTTCTCAACCAGTGTGATGTCTGGTGTATTATGCGCCAGTATTTTGTCCGTTTGTATACAGAAATCCCACAAGATCTTGACCATCTGATTTTCGGTGACTTTTTCATGCTGATATTCCCACCAGTTTGTTGCTGTTTTAATATTATAATTTTTGCACAAATTCCAATGGATCATTATTCTTATTATTCTTATTATTCTTATTTTATTATTGTTGGCAGCCAAGAGTTGTGATACGTGGGTGGCCACAGAAGATAGATAAAGACAGACACACAGAGAGAAGATAGACAGATGATAGAGATAGACAATTTTTTTTATAAAAATCTCCTAGTTTAAAAGCAGCATTAAAGTATAACATAATTACACACCTTTTGTAACCAAAGTGTTATGCATGTCACGTGAAAGAAGTGGCGACATGGAAGCTCTGTTACAATTTCTTCTTTGATGTACTCACTACAGCAAATAGCACAACACTGCTCTTGCCCTACAGCTTAGGAAAACAATGTGCATATTAGTATACAAATGTAAAAGTAGGTTATTAAAATTATGGTGAAAGTTATTAATAATTTAAAATAGTTTTGAAAATATTCACATTCAACCAAATTAAATTACAAAAGATAATAACATATCATACTACTAGATCATATAAAGTTACTTGACCAAAACAATGAGTATGTAATTTATATCTTACCGTTGTGATCTTCTGTAATAATAATTTGTGGCAGACAATCTATGCTCTCTTTACTAGCTGGTGGATGAGCCTGCTCAACATCAATTGCAAGAGACTCTAGATGTGCCAGCGCAGTCTAGAAAAATACATGAAAAAAAACAAGCACATAATATATATACATGTAAGTATGTGTCTGTGCAATCACTGTGTAGGATCCCATAACTATAAACTAGATATAAATTAATTGCTTCTATTTTGCAGAAATGAAGGCCATATTAATATACATGACATTAACAAAGTTCTATAGTAAAATTAATTAAATTATGAGAAATTATAATATAAACTTTGTTAATTAACTCAAGTGTATTTTATTAAGGTATGTAACTGTCTATTCCAATTTCAATTGCTTTAATAACTGTGACATTGTCATGAATTATGACATTTTTTTTCAACTACTTGTAGTTATAACTTGAAATTGGACCATAAAAATAGTGGCTTCAATAATCTAAGACTAAGGAGGTATATATAAATAATGTCATCTTTTTAAATGCCACACACAGAGACGTTTCTCTTTCAGTTTTCCACATTTTTAAGCAACAACCATCTCTCCTAATGCATGCTTTATTGCTCATTAAGTCAAATCTTTATTTCAGTCATTGTTCAATGTAAGTTTTGTCAGGACAAAAGCACAGTCCACCATGCATGCTTATATGAAGTAGTTAAGCAGCCATTACTATCCAGTTCATAACTTTCCAAAAAAATCTTTATTAGAATGTTTATGGAGAGACTCGTCATCACCAAGCTGATAGCCAAGACAAATCTATGTAGAATAATTGCCTATGAGATAAAGAACAGTTTCATATATTTGGGATAGAAAACACCCCTTTTCTCAGATTGCAAACATAATTTCCATACTAGTTAGGATTGTAGAATTCCAGTCCAAAATATTTGGAAGACAGCAAGTTGGACAAGGCTTGTTTTTCCTCTTGTTTCCACTTGTTATAATTTCAATCAAATTTTCATTTATCATGCCACAAGTTTATACAGTATGAAAATATTGCCAAGCTTGGTGACCAAATGTCGAATTTCATATTCAGTAATGGATCAGAGAGTACTAGGGAATGGCTAATACAGTTAGTGTATGTCTCTGAGAAGATACTGGGAAGATATTCTATCCATTAATTACAAAGCACTTTGCAGTTCTTAAGAATATACATCAGGGCTCTCCAAACTTGGCAAGTTTAAGACTTGTGGACTTCAACTCCCAGAGTTCCTCCAGTCACTATATCAAGCCTAATGCAAAGGTTTTTGCTCTTAGAAGGATTGTAACTAATTCTGGCAATGTAATTAATTATCTGTACTTCCATAAGTTCCATTTAGTCATTTATGTCCTTTCACAAAATTGACATTTTTACATCACTTGTGGCAATGGCATAAATATGTCCCTTACATAATAGTCTTCATAATGTCATTGACATAAATTTGAATTTAATGGACTTTTGGATTTAACAGATATCCTTTCCCCCAGTCTGTTAATTCAAGATTTTACTGTATTTCATTGAAGTTGCTCATACATCTGGCAGAATCTCACTTTGCTGGATCAACAACAATAAAATACATAATTATTGTAATTATCTATGCATTTAATAAAACATTTTGCCTATTTAATGAAAGTCCATTCATAGGGACATATTCAAAGTTCAGATAACTATTAATCAAGTAAGAAAGTTACTAGTTGAATTCATTTAGCTTAAGGGAATACATACTTTATGCTCTTCAATTCATATTAGTTGGTTACCACTACACAGAAAAATCTCAACTCATAACCTCCACTATTGGCAGCTTATAAACATGATTGTTTACAATGAAAGCAACACATTCAAAACTATCATAGCATAGTACAAAGGTGGCTAGGATAACAGCTTTTGTTTAAAAAAGCAATGAAATAAAAATAACATTTACCATGATGTCTTAATACGCATATATAATTTGCCTCTTGGCCCATGCACACAACAAATGAACAAATAATTAAATACAGAGCAAGAACTAGTATTCCCAAAGATCTGACTATGCATTGCAAAACTAGGAAACCGTCATACAACTAATCTAATAAAGTAAGTTTGAATATTGTTCAGAGTGACAAAGTGTACACTTTGAAAATGTAATCTTCTAATCACTTTTGAATTACATTTTCTTCAACTTTATGACAAGTATAGTAAATTAAAACCAAGTTATACTGTAACATTTATATTCAATTGTAATTAGCATATGGCAAACTGTATGATAAAAAAACTACAACTCAATCCAAAAGTGTTAGATGGTAACACTGTTACTTCATTGCTAAGATTATTAATTAAACAAATCTTTGATGTTATGCTTTCATACGTTGCACAGTAAGAATTTAAACAGTGCCATATACCACTTTTATATAGTTGGGCCAATGTTTCTGTTTCCAATTAGACATGCCTTGTTTTCATTTGCCTGATTCTTCTGCCTTCTGTACAAAATGAAAAGAAACTGATGAATATTTAAATGCCCTTGTGTATATAACATTGATGTAAACACAATCATGGGAAAGTGAATACATGAAAATAATTGAGAAATTATAGGAAATATACAGATTTTCTTTCTACTCTGAAAGACTTGGAAACTTGCCTATATTTTGTTCAGAAGGGAATAAAGTAACCATTTCCTTGACATTTCAAACTACATTATTGGTAATCAGGCTATTTAAGCCTTAAAAGAATTAACTTTATGGATACACAAACACCTGACTGTCAATTTGTACATGAACTAACAAACCCTCTGAAAGAACAGATAAAAGAAACTATGGATAATGAGAATTACCTGTGCAATTTTTGAAGTGAACTAATTAGGATGCTTCCCTTAAAAAAAAAAAAGTAGCATATTTTTTGGAGTATAAGACGCACCTTTTCCCCCCCAAAAAAGAGGGTGAAAATTTGGGTGTGTCTTATACACCGAATGTAGCCTCACCCACCCCTTACCAGGCAAAAAACGCTAGGCATGGAGGCAGTGATGGTCTGTGACAATCCCTGCAGCCTGGAACAGCTGATTGGGAGTATTCCAGCAGTCAGATCCACCCGGCAATCAGCTGTGCTAAATCAGGCTGCAATAAGTGCTGAAGCTGACCTAGTTGGTCAGTTTACCGCAACAATCACATTCAGAAATCACACACTAGTAATTTATTCAGCAGGATTCAAAATAAAATAATATAGGTTTTCCAAGGTAGCAGTAAATACAAGCAAAACACAAGCAGTTTCACTTTCAGTTCTCAACTAAGCCAGGCTCCTTTGGGTCTCCTTGTTGCTCACACAGCAAATACTGTTTCAGAGTCCAAATAGACCTCATTGGCTGACCTTGTTACCATGTGGTCCAAGTCAGGAAGCTAGCCAGCTGAATACCATGGAGGCTGGTAGGCAGAGGCAGAATTTTTTTCTTCTTCTTATTTTCCTCCCCCAAAACTAAGGTGCGTCTTATACTCCGGAGCGTCTTATACTCTGAAAAATACAGTACCTTTAAGTATGATTCACTAAGAGCTATCTAATAATTATTTTCTACTTTTAAAAAATTACACTTACTAATGTATTCTTCTAATAAAAAATGTTTTGGTTACATATGAACTTTCCAACCAATAGTCAAGACAAGCTATCTATTTCCTACTGGCAAAAAGTTAATTTACTAGATGTGGCTTTATTCAAAAAATATCTGAGGACATTTTGGGAGATCAGTGATTTTATTATTGAAAGCAATATTGACTGGAAAGATGTATTGGAGCAAGCAGTAGTGGGACACGAGCAATGGCAGAGTTCTATACTGGGCTTACTTTGTAGAAAGTTGTATGCAGTAATGCTAGACTGTTCAAGATTGTATTGAAATGTATACATACTATAATTTATACTTCAAATTATATTATTATTGTTATCATTATCATCATAATCTCAGGCAAAAAAGAGAAATGAATATGAGTATCTCTTTTTATACTTCATGGCTTGATGGCTATCTAAAGAAAGACATGTTTTTGAAATTCAAGATGAATTTTTGTTCTTCCTTGAGTGACATCTTCTATCAACAATGCTAATTTAAACTTAGAGATAGGTTGCATGAGCTGGATTGGCTAACAGTAGTGATTTATTTGTTGACATATTTTGACATCTAAGTAAGTTAAATTTCAATTTACAAGGTCTAATGTTTTAAAAAGCAGAAGCAATAATTAATAACTCTTATGGACACAGCAAGTTACCTACAGAAATGTTTTAAAAGCTTTTTGTTCTTTAATCATATGGTGAAAATAATGTTATCTCTGGTATGTTTTATGCAGATCTTTTTTGGCTAAAAATGAGTATTTTCCTCCAAGACAAAAATATTAAGAACCAATTTATACTCAGTAAACATAAAACAAAATATTTTGTTGAGTTTCATCCTATTCATTAAGAATTTTTTTTAAAGATATTTGTAGTCCTTGATAAATGACCATTTGTTCAGTGACTGTTCAGCAGTACAAGAGCCTGAACAAAGGTGACTCAGGGTGGCTATAGTTGGGTGATCACAGCATTCTCGTCAAGTGATCACATGCTGGGTGATTAGCAACAGGCTCATAATTATGACACTGCAGTGTCCTGCAGTCATTGGATCCCGCTTTTTGCAATCTTCACTGTTTGTATCTGACAAGCAAAGCCTATGGGGAAGGAGGCAGGACATTGCAAATGCCAATGGTCCTGAAATGCTGGGCTAATGCAGGATTCATAGTCCTGCATAGTCACAGCAGCAACTGCCATAACTGCTGTTGTAAGGTGCCATGGTCATGTGATGTGCTTTATGCATCACTTAGCAACAGAGTTGCCAGTTCCCATTACCATTGCTAAGTGAGGAGTGACTTAATATGTTGATATCTGCAGCCTTTAAATAAGAAATATAGTAGTGTTACTGCTGAAAGTGAAGACATCCCCCTGCTGTGATGTCAAGGAGGTCAGATAACTTTCTAATTGTGCCCAAAGTGAGGGGCGTTTTTTGATCATTTGCATACCACTGAAAAAACAAGCTAAAATATATGCATAATGGGTAAATTAAAAAATCAGCTGTTAAAGTTCTCATCCAAATATGATAGATAGAGCCCTAGTGGCTCAGTGGTTAAACTGCAATATTGCAGGCAAACTCTGCCCAGTCTGGAGTTGAGTCCTGACAGGGTTCAAGATTGACTCAGCCTTCCGTCTGGTTAGTAAAATGAGGACCTGGATTATTTGGGGCAATATGCAAATAATGCTTACATTATAAACTATCCAGAGAGTGCTATATTGGGGCAGTATATAAACCTAAATGCTATTGTTAGTCATAATTCAGATAAAGAAAATGTTTCCATTAAAAAACACACCTTGGTATCTTAACATTCTACTTAAAAGTACCTTAAGAGTTATCATCATAGCATTATAACGTAAGGCTAAAAATGTACTTAATGTCATTCTTATGCTAATCACCTCTCTTAAATAATATAGATCTATGTAGCAGTAATACAGAAAGTAGTAAAGCATACAAAAATCCAATTTGTGAAATGATATGAAATAATCTCTCTAAATTTTCTTCTTGTTCCGTGGCCTTAAAATGCACAGCAATTTCATATTTTAGTGATAAATTTGATTAAAATAAAATAAGTGGAAAATCATTGTGAGTAACAGTTATTATGGGCGGTAGGCAAAGCATCAGGACTTCACTCCTAATGCATCGATATTGATGTAGCTAACCTATCATCAACGGCAGAAGCCAAAATGATGTAGTTGTTGGGTAGTTGTTTTTTTGGCTAATTTCTATATTAATTCTACATTAATGAAATCAAGCTGTCAAAATCACTCTAGTCAGTCCTCTTCTCTGTTTGTAAAATTCAGGTATACTTATCCTAGATGCTATTATCATTACAATGTGCAGAATTTTAAAGCCTTCAGTATGAATACACAGTTACTGTTTCTAAAGCAATTTTATTAAACATAGTTCTTATGGAAAGGATGTATTTTCAGTTGAGGTTCTAAACCTTTCCTTAAACATATAGAAATCAGTTGCTTCTGTTCAGTGGTGGGATTCAATTTTTTTTACTATCGTTTCTGTAGCTTGGGTGGGTGTGGCATGGCTTGGTGGGCATGGCAGGGGAAGGATACTGTAAAATCTCCATTTCCTCTCAACTCCAGGGGAAGATTAGTGCAAAATCCACATTTCCTCCTGATCAGCTGGGACTCGGGAGGCGGATAATAGATGGGAGCAGGGCCAGTCAGAGGTGGTATTTACCGGTTCTACTCAAAATTTCTGCTACCAGTTCTCCAGAACTGGTTAGAACCTGCTGAATATCACCTCTGCTTCTGGTGGATAGTCTGAAGTAAAATCAAAACAATATCTCTATGGACTTTTGTTGAAGGTACATCTAATATATATGAGCAAGAATCAATATCAATAACATGTACTAATTACTTCATGCTATTAACATTTCAAACTATGTCATTTTAAAGAAATTAGAATGTTTGGAATTCCAAAACCTCCATGCAAAAAGTTCCTGCAGTGCAATGCATTTTAAGAGATCACTGCTACACACTCACACATAAGTAACTTACTCAACCACAAAAATAAATACAAATAAAATGCTGCCTACCTCTCAATTTAAGTATATTATCTACATTTGGAATGTAGGCAATCAGAAATTGCAAGTACCTGTAGACGCTGATAAGTCATTTCCATGAACATGCTTGTTACCTGAATTTGAAAAGATTCAGGTTAGTGAAGGGAGGAGCACAACTTTCTTAAAAATTGTACCCCACACCTAACTATAGAATTTTACTTATGAAAATTAGAAAATACTTTTTCTTTGGGATTATCACAACTGAAGGGACCTACCCCCTGCCCCCAACTAAATGAAAACTTACAGATAAATGAACAATGGTTTTGTTTCTGCTGGTAAACTATTTTAGGTTGTTTGCTTCAAATTAGGTTTAGCCTAAAGTGTTACTACCAGAGTACAGATATATTAAAACTATCAAAGCTAATAATGTTCATATACAAGATTCTTCCAACATTTTCCAATCAATGAAACCTGGAGAGATTATTCAAAGCAAGTCTAATATGACTTAATACAGAGAAAATCTCAAATTACAGAAGATGTAGTTGAGTCTTTTTTTCATCTACCCTTCTATTCTGTTTTCCTAAGATTTCCCACCATTTGTCAAAATGTACATAATTATTTGAAACTTCAAAAATCCATCCAACTCAAGATGTCAAGTACACTTTACTAAACTGGACATGATGCCAAGACAGTTATTTAAATTTACAAGGGCAGTATAAAAGACAAAATGCATTAGCTATGGGAATTTTCCTCATCATGAATTGCAGCCTTGGCTTCTTGGTGTTTTTTCTCAACAAACAACAATTTCTATGTATTTCAATTAGTGTTTATGATATACAACAGGGTGTCATATGATGTATTGCAATGTTTTATGCCTTTATCGAGCCAGGTTAGATGTGGCCTACACATGACTCATCCGGCCCGCGGGTCACCTGATATCCACATCTTATACATTACTCTCACTCAGCCACAAGAAAAGAAGAACAATCTTATTGTAAAGTCAACTGATTCACTTAACATATCACAAGCAACTAATGAAATATTGAAAGTTAGTTATGAAAGATTATGTTATTTCATAATTTTATTGCATAGCAAACAAGCATAATTATTTTATCTATTTTTCATAGATTTATAGCAGCATAACATTTTATAATGGTGTATAACAGTTTATTTGGCTATAATTTATTTTTATTTTTAAGCTATAATTATAAATACTTTATTGAAAATCTCTTAATACGGATTAATGCTGCTTAAAGCAGTATCTTGAGAAATAATTATAATATGCTTTAAATGAGAAAATATTTCATTAGCAGTTTTACATTACACTGATGTTTGGAAATATGTATTCGTAGTAGTTGTCTGGAAGTTGAGTCATGGCAACTAAAAAGCTACTCAAATAAGCAGTGAAAAATGTTTCAAACCACCAAAAAAAAGTTCAGTTGCCATGACTTCCAGGTTACACTAGTGTTGTCTTTTCCTACTGAAATTAAGCCACATCTCAAGCACACACAGTATTTTCAAAGAATGCATACTTTTTAAATGTACAGACTCCTGCATTGCTTGGTTCAAAAGTTGTACAGTATTGCTTTTCACAAAGCTCAGGAAACTCAAAATCTCCTAAAAGGAATTATTACTGTTAGCAATTAACAATGGTTTCTCTATATAAAAGATCTGTAGTGTGGTAAGGAATAGGAATCCATTTTAATGTAAGAAATAGAAGGAATTTTTGGCAACAGATTAAAGAGAATGGCTTGTTTTAAATTCAACTGAAATAGATAATCCATTTACTAACAAAATGACCTACTTTAAAACAACTGAAGTCCTATACTGGGATAATGCTAAGATCGTTTTAAAATGTTTTTATTGCCTAGCTGAAAATATTAAGTATTATACTCTAGAATACAGTATTTAATTTTATTTAACTGTACTTGGAAAAAGGGATTGCAATTATTAAACTGTAAAATCTATTAAAATAGCAAAAGTATGTATCTGTATTTACTTATGGATTTAAAATATTGTGTTTCCTATATATTTCAAGTTAAGTTTTTACTTTGGAGAGAAAAAGATGCCCATTTTTAAATCACTGTATTTTTAAAAGCCAAGAGGCAAATTAGCAGGATTCACTGACCTAGGAGTATTGCTAAGCCGCGTAAGCGCCTCTTCTCCACTGCACGGCTCCCACGGCTTGGCACTTTCAAAATGCGAGTGTATGGTACTCAGCATGGCTGGAGACTGGGGGGTTGTGCGAGCGGCTGTTCCGCTCTCAGTCACATGCCTCCCAGCTCTCCCTGCAGAGCCAGGGCACTTCTGCTGCTGCCGCCGCCACAATCCCAGCATGGCTTTTTCGGAGGCTTCCAAACCGAGTCTTCTGATAGTGGCCGCTCTTGGTGTACGCTCTATGGTTGTACGCCCTGCCGACAGCCAGCCCACAGCCAAAGAGCATACACCCAGAGCGGCCACTGCTGGAAGACTCAGTTTGGAAGCTGCCGAAAAAGCCATGCTGGGATGGTGGCAGCGGCAGCGGAGGTGCCCTGGCTCTGCAGAGAACTGGGCCAGGGCATTGTGAGGCTGGGAGGCGTGGGAGCGGAACAGCTGCTCGTGCAACCCCCTTCTCCAGGTGTGCAGAGCACCATTCACTGGCATTTCAAAAGCACCATGCCACAGGAGCCGGGCGGCAGCGAACAGACACTTGCGCGGCTTGGCACTACCCCTAGGTCAGTGAATGGCATTCTGCATGGCTGGAAAGGGGTTTGCTCGGTGGCTGCTGTGCCCAGCTCTTTGGGAGCCCGCTCGCAAGAGAGCAGCCACTCGGCAACCCCCCTCTTCAGCTGGGCACAGCACCGCTCACCAACTTAGCGGTATCCTGAAGGCACCAAGCAACATGATCATCTTTGCCCTCCCCCCCCCCAGTTTCTGCAGCTTGGCACCTTTAGGATACCACTAGGTTGGTGAGCGGTGCTCTGCCTGGTCAGAGGTGGAGGGTTGTCCAGGGGGCTTATTTGTGGGGGAGGGCTTATATTTTTGCCCACCAGAAAAATGTGGCATGGCCTTATTATCAGGACATGTCGTATTTTCAGGGAAACACGGTATCAACATGATTGCAAAGGTAATGAAGAAGCATCTTGATAATAAAATGGCATCTGCTTCTTTGACATTTTAAATACTTTGGAAGCTCTTAATAT